GGAGTTACAGTCATTATCTCCTGGGCCCGGGCTATGCCGGGATAGAGGGGAACGAGAGAGCACACGAAGCCGCGCGGGATCTCATTCATTCTCCCTACCCCTCCGCAACAGGCCAAAGCGCGATTCTCCAAAGCCCTCCGCCCGTACTTATTCAAGAGAGCTCTGATGACGAAGAGAAGTGGCTGCGACGAGGAAATGACCCTTGCCTGCCTTGAGCGATGAAGGGTCCTGCGTAATATACTACCTGAAGACGATGACCCACTGCCAAACCGGGTACGGTCGGTGGGCTACAGTGCGTCTTCGGAGACCTCGAACCGGAAAGGCCATCTCCCCGGCAGTCCGGCCTAAGTTCGAGAGATGTGCGCTCAAGACAGATGCAGAAAAAGAACATGGCGATAACGGATCTTGCAGACGATGCTCCACTGAACAACAAGCCACAACTTATTAGTGCCCGCCTGACAAGTGCCCATCGTTTATAGGACTGTGTAGAGCTCAGCCGGACGCAAGAAAACGCAGTTGGAAAATTGCAACCCATGCTGCAGCTGGTTTGCCTTTGGTACTGTATATATACACCCGAGAAGCTCATCGCAGTTCCGCAAAGCCTTAATGGACTCGCTGCCTCACTTTGTCACGACAGAAAACATTTAGGACTGCATCTGATTACAGACATTTCTGGTTCCCCCTCCCTATCCACATCTCATCCCCCCTCCTTCTCTCCGGTGTCAGTGGACAACTGATTAGAGAGAGTCATGCGCGCTTTACTTTCTTTTTCTTTTATAAAACATGTTCAGTCAATCAATCTTTTTTTTTTTTCGCAAGAGTAACTGTGATTCACTGCAAGAACGAGGAAGAAGCGCGTGAAAATATTTGGGACAAGAATCTTCTGCGTCAGTTACAGAATTAGCTTCACTTTTCCTCAAACGTGAAAACAACGCAAACATCTGACAAGGGACGAAGTGCACGGACAAAGCGCTTTGTCCGTGCACTTCTTTCACTTGTCCTTTGTCAAGTTTTTGCGCTGTTTTCACGTTTGAAGATGTTCAACCAACTCGCCCAACTTACCGCCTTGTTCCCTTTTCCTAATCTTCTGAACCTCCTCGAATCCCAGCCACCTTTCAAAAGGTGGCGCCAGAGCGCGTCGTTTGCTACAACATAAGTGCTGTGTGATATTAGGACAATTAGTACGCTTTCAAAAATTCCAATCATGGAAAGTGATTTTAGTTAAAACGAGAAATAGTTGTCTTAAAATAGTTGTCCTCTTCTCTGACACAGGGTTCTTGCGTCTGCCTGGCGATAGTTAAGAAAATGCAGAGGGGAAGGAAACTGGCTTAGAACGGCGAGGACAGGAATCATATTTTGTTCTTTTGGTTTCTAGACTAGGTGGCGCAAGCTACCGTCCGTAATAAACGGTGGAACCGTTATCATCCATCCATCCATACAACCTCCTGATTGGAGAGTATGGCGGGTGTATCATTGCGGCGCGTGTTCACGCCGCATTACGGCGAATGTCTGCGGATGGCCTATTAAAAAATATTAATCCACCCGGCCCACCCGTACAAGACGCTTCGCGGCGCCCCGCCAGCGGCCCAAGCCCCGCCGTCCCTCACTGCACCTCCGGAAAAAGAGACCCAGGAGGGAAAGCACTTGATCAAGGGTGCGCCTCACTTCGACGCACGATCCGAGGCTAAGCTAAGAAACCACTTGCAAACGTGTAAAAAGAGGGATCCCTGGGGAACGCGTGGCCCCACAACTGATATTTGTGGTCGGTGGGTTTCAGAGGTCAAGTGTACTGCGTAGTACTGAAGCTTTCCTTCACATGTCAGATGCTTCAGGCACGCCGTGGAAAACGCGTCGGAGGGAACAGAGACCGACTACAATACGGAAGACACCTTCCCAAGGAGAGCCGAAGCACTTAAAGGCTGAACTCCATGTAGCTAATTATGCGACGAATAACGGATGAACCTCGTCCGACGGCACGATCGCTTTTCGCGCGAAGTATCAGCCGCTGTGCTGATGGCACGCGCAGAACAAGAGGCACCGGGCAAAATTCGTCGATTTTTTGCAGCATTCTCCCCACGGAGTCCAGCCTTAACAGTGGAGGCCGAGCAAAACGGACGACGTGCAAGAACTTCGTGCTTTGAATAAAAAACCTGTCGTCCATCACGTACGAATCCGATCGCGCTAGTATGGATTGGAAGGTTTCGTTGAAAATGGCATATTTTTAGTAATGAGTAAACTGCGGTCTGGCAGAGATGCTACCATGTTGCTTTTATTTCCTCTCAGTGTTTTTATATGAAACTTTGATTCAATAAACGTATACTGTAGTATCTGGTGTACACTATATAATAATGCGACCGACGTCATCTTCGTAGCCAACCTATGAACTTATTTACCAAGAACTTTCAGGAATGAAAACAAGGCTTTCTGGCTGGGAGGCACAGGCTAGCTGGAAACGGTAGTACTTGTAAATCCCCGAAACAAGAAATAAAAAACACAAAAGAGGGATGACACACTTGCGTTTTCTTAAGACCAAGTTCTTGTGATACCTTACATCCAGAGAACAGCACGGGCACGCTGGCGCCATCTATGAGGTAACCCTAAAGCTTCATTTTACTAGAACAAAAGATTTTTGCGGTATATATGAGATCAAATGTACGCACTATTATGAGGAATAAACATCTCTAACATTCTCTTAAGTTATTCAAGACAAAGGAAACCCATAATATGCGAAACAGAAGTAGGATTTATACGAAATCACCAAGTGCCAGTATGCTCTCTCGTCGTAAGAGAGTTTAAAGGTCCGTTCACACTCTTGCAACCGAGTACGACCGAGGAAGACCAGACCGGTTTTTAAGCCTCTTGCGACCTCTTAAGACCGGATGCGCTGCAGCGGAGCTGGTCCTAAGAAGTCGCAAGACGCTTAAAACCGGTTTGGTCTCTCTCGGTCTTACTGGGTCGCAAGAAAGTGAACGGGCCTTAAGAGGATTTAGGGCACATGGTCGTAAGCAGTCGCAAGTGCGTAAACCATGCTTAATATACTTGAGCAGCCTAGGGAAAAAACGTCGATCAAGTAGCTGCACAATTTTATGGCTTTTACGTGACGTTGTTACACCATAATGGTGGTCATTTCATCTTCTTGTGGGAAAAAACAAAACTGGTAGTGCGAAATGTGCCGTCCCGAAAAGAAGTGCTTTGGATCGAAATCACCACAATGGGGTGTTAGTTTGACGTCGCTGCAAGTCATGTATTTATCGTGAACGGCCTCAGCTTTTTTGTTGACCTCATGGACGTTTCCAGGCAATACGCCTGAGAATAGCCCATCCAGGCCCAAGTTTGGCAATGCCGGGAGCTTAGTTTGCGCCTAGTTAGGTATGGCTCCGTTCAAGTGCCAAATAACATTTATTTTATTTGTCATGGCGTTTTTTACTTCACCACATAACCGGAAAATGCCAGACATGAGCCAGAGATGGCACGTATCAGCCGAAGAACCAGCTGAGGGGTCTAATTGAGGCACTTTGTTTGCAATTTAGGCCCGAAGTTGCCAGGTGACCACCAAGGCCACCCGGGCAGTGAAGCCTATGGTCGATGACAGGTAAAGTGTAAGATGGAAGCTCCTCCCCTCTCTTTCTACTTTAGCGGAGCGAACGATGGAGAGGAGAGCGCCTCCTCCTCATCGTTTGCTCTGCTACAGTGGACAAGATGTGGGAGGAGCTTCCAGTTTACTCTTGGTCATCAGAGAATGGCACGAACTTGATCCTTCTATCACTAGCAGCGCCACAATAACTTAACTCCTACCACATCTAGATGTTTTGTCACATAGAGATGAGTGATATTAGATTACTTTTCTTTTATTTTATAACCATGGCTGGCCTGCTGTGTTTCTTCATGGCATGGTATTAATATGATTTCTGATTTCGTTCTTTTCTTGGGCACTGTTCAATAGCATTTTTGTGAATGTTTTGACCTTAATGTGCCAATGATGATGCATGCAATTTTTTTTGTATTTTGTGTTCTATCTTGCTAAAGTTCCTCTTAGGACAGGCAGTACTTTCAAATAAATAAATAAATTCCGAGACAAAAACTAATGTTCACCATGAAGAACAGTACAACTTGGGTTACCTTGCCACTGGGACAGTCATGGGCAGACTCCGGCTTGACAAGCGCTGTAGGTTTGATGCACAATTTTATTGCGATTCGCTGTCATAGGACATCAAGCAGAATAAAGCCGCGTTGAGGAACTTGACGTGGTTGCAGCTCAAACAATATGATTCTGGACGAGACATGATTTATTACTGATTTTTCGTGGCCGAACAGTAAGGGCGGCCACACATAAAGCAGGAAAAGTAGCTTCAAGTTTTGTACGATTTCAAACTGCCCATTTGTGTAGCAGCAGACATGACGCCTGAGTGTATACATGTACGGATTCTTTTAATTTTCCGGGCTGTATTTATTAGGGACAAGGGTTTCCATGGTACCTAAAACACTCGGAATATTCGGGCAACATATCTACAACCTAATGATGTCACTTGAATTTTTAAGGGACAAACATTTGGCGATGACTTTGGTAATACATGTTATGACGTCTGTTTCTACTCTAAGCAGTTCAGATTCTTTCACATCTGTTCCTTACGGATTACTCTGAAGCCTGAGTCCCATTACAGCAACAAACAAAAACAACCGACACCAACATGTCTTAACTACGTGTTGCATGTTCGCCAAGGTACCTTTGACAGGCTTTTAGTCTCTCGGTTGTTTTGAGAAAAGCACGAGTGATTGTAAGCCTGCCAAAGATACCATCACGCGCATGATGCTGGCGTTTGAGGCTTGTCGGTGTGGGCTGTTTTTGTTTGTCGCTCTAGTGGGACTTGGGCATTATCAATGCATTTGATTAACATCTTAAAAACCGTATGCAAACAAAAATATCAAAAACACTACGAACACCAGTATACTTTAAATATTTCGTTTATTGTTAGCCCGGAATTATAGAAAAGTTGTTTGTTTTATATTTTAAAGAATTTCGAAAGGCATTCTTTCCAAGATTTTTTTTTAGGAACTGCATCTGGGTTTTCAGTGGAACTAGAGTTCGGAGAAAATCTGCCGGAGAAAAAAAAGCATGTTCATGTGTTTATCTAAAAACAATATCACAATGAACAATCAAATAATGCTCCCTAAACAAAAAGGCGTTTTCATCTCGCCAACTTTGCGGTTTGCACACCCTTTCATTCCAAAAACCCTTCCAACAACAAAACAAAAAATAATATTTTGGTAAACGTTAAAAGTGCTACCCAAAAACAGTGCCTAAATTGAGACGCAAACACCCGCAGCAATGCACTCTTGTTGCATCTTGAATATCCCAAATAAACAATAATTAAAGCAATTACTGCGATTACTGTCCATCAAAAGCTTTCAAAAGCATCAAACGAGTCAATCTAAAAATAAATATTTTAATCTGTAGCATGCTGAGTCGTCTTTCACTGGCGTTAGTGTACCGTGGAAACAAAAGAAAATTCAAGACAAAAATAAGCACTCATCTGCTCTGAACATGATTGCAGGGCTATCACACAAACATTCGATGTTTGTAAAAGATACTAATTATACATTTATTTTGCTACTGCTTAGTACCGTCTTCACGAAAGCCAAGCATACGGTAAAGCTCTGTTTACTTTAATTTCAAAGTTCTGCGTTGCTTATGTATGTTTTTAATATATATGGGGTCTTCGTCTGCTCGCTGCGCCTCTCGGTAGATGGTGCCAGAAGCTACATTCATTTTTAACTCGGTCGTTTGCAAACACGTCCGCTGTTGACTATTGAAAATGTGTTGACCATATTTTGTCAAACGAAAATAACTATACCGTAAAATTTCACATGGTAACATCAACACCCTTAATGCACATTGGGTGAAAGTCTGAGCTTTTTTACCTGCAGGATCTGATTTTTTTCGGTTAGTTTTACAGCCTAAAGTGATTGGCTGTAGCCACCCTATAAATATTTTATTCATGCAGAACTATACGCATGCAGAAGCACAGCAGTTGTACCACGCTTTCGTCCACGATATTCTACCTAGTACCGTTAAATGAAACAACTAGATGAAGCAGATATCCACTCGTTCATATTTTCAATATGAGCTGCATTCTCAGAATAGTTACTCACACTTCCGGTTCAAGTGGAAGTTTGGACGTTGTCGGTGGAAATGTAATGGTCAAATCTGCAGAGGGAACAAAATTATGAGACTGCAAGCAAACACTGACGGGACGGGAAAAAAATACGACCTAAGAAAAACGCTTTAGCGCGTCTTCAATACACGTTTGCAAACGTAGTCACAGGACACCGTTTCACCGTCTCTGGTGTCTCTCGATAGGCCTAACGTGAAGACCTGCAAAGGCGTGTCCATCGTTCATATATAAATTAATCGTGTTGTGTGGTTGTTTAGACAGATGACATTTAGTCAGCCCCCTTGGGCATCTGATGCCTCCGCCGAAGGTGAGAGAAATTTAGCCAGTACAATATACTGCATAGCCTGGACTCTTCGGCGTGCCACCCGCAGTAATGATACACGTCAGCACTCTGGTATACGATGTTCATCCAGATTGAAAGGAAAAGAGGGAGTGGGGGCGGGTTGATCCTAGGATCTCTGGGCTCTGCCGAGCAAAGTTCCGCTTCACGTGTTCTGGACTGCGTTCTGTTAACACACCCGGCCACCAACCCCCCTTTCATGGTTGTGAACAACTGCAGATGTAGGTTGGGCAAGAAAAGGAAATGCAACTACCGCAAGAGCGGCAGTGCGGTCCTGCGAGTCAAACCTAATCTATGCTGAGAGCAGCACCCCCTTGAACTTCACGGCTATAAGAAAACAATGCTAACAAAATTTGGCGGATAGAGCTTTTTATTACACGTTATAGAGGTACATTTCAGCCGTTAAGGGAAACACGACCCTTGTAGTTCTATGCTTTTACATTTCCTGCCTGCTCCGCTTTATGCAACCAATTAACTGGTTCTTGCCATTTCCGAGTGTGTTAGCACGACGCAGCTTGGAGCTCTGGAAACGAAAGCTCACGCTGAAGAACCTAGGAATCCTGTGTTCAGTTCATAGAGCGAATATAATAATCTATAAGAAAAGGTCGCATGACTCCGGCCGCTTTTGAACGGCTGTGCATAAATGCTGGCATCAATGGTTCCCATGGCACCATATTGAGACACTTTGATATACACAAAGATACAGAAAAACATCCCTTTGCAAGCTTATGTATATGTTGGCTGCGCGACATATGTATGTGTCGCGCAGCGTACAAAAATAAATAAAGTGGACGAACACCCGAACAACTTCAACTGGTCGCCGTAAAACGAAAACAACCATAGGTATAGTCTGCTTTCTTTATCGGCCTTTCTGTCTATCTATTGCTCGTTCTTTCTCTCGAGACCTTTTTGGTCCACTCCCCACGCCTGCCCTTTTCAACTTAGATGCACAACGTACCTGCGAGCGGTCGTCTATCGATTCTGCGCAGTGCACATTAAGGGCACCAGGCTAGCAGTGCTATTGTACTGATCAAATTTTTCATCTCCAGCGAATACACGACTGGCCCATTGAGGCTGACTAAATTCCTGCTGTCTAAGCATACACATAACACAGTTACCTTGGCCGCACATGGGCTACCTTTTCGCTGAGCATTAAATACAACCCTTCGAAAAAAAAAATAATAATAATCTAAACGATGTCTCCGTAAAAAAACGGTGTTGCTGGCTTCGTAGGAACGGGTAAAACTTCAAAAATGTGTACTTCAAGTCTAATCTGTGTGTTACGCACCTGTTCGAGGGCAGTGCGATTTGCGAACGCAAGTTCCATTTCTGACCCTGTAGTACCCGTACTTGCAGAAGCATCCAGAAGCGCAATCCAAAGTGCAGCCAACTGGTTTGGGCTCTCCGCACCGACGTTCGCCACAGGAGCTGCTTACGCATATCTTGTAGGTCTCGTTTTTCGGACATTTAGGTTTCGGTGTGGTAGGAACAACTATAAAAAGAAGTAAAAAAAAATGAAAGACGTTTACAGCTTCTTGTAATGCCGAATTAGAGCGCAGCTCTTGAGGAGGAGGAGGGAAGGGTACTGAAAAGCGGGCATACGCCTCTTTCCTCTCACCTCATCCTTTCTGCTACTCCTCCTCCCCTCCTCCCTGATCCTCCCCTCATCCTTCACGCTGCTCTCCTCCTCCTCCTCCCCCTCCCTCCTCTCCTCCCTCCTCCTCTCGCCTCTCTCCTCCTCTCCGCGCGTTGCATCATGAGAAATGTCCCATAATGCACAGCGCGGAACCCTCGTGAGGTCACACGTGACGTCACGATTGACGTCACGAGGGTCCCGCGCGGTGCATTATGCGACATATCCCATAATGAACCGCGCGGTTACGGCGACGGCGACGCCGACGCCGACGGCGCTCAAGCCGGAAACGGGCGCATAAGAGCTGCGCTCAAAAATTAGTAAACAATCAGGTGAACCGAAGCTAAGTCTCGTTACGAAGTCTCGTTACAAAGAAGCATCTTGGTCAGAGGCGTTATAGCGTTACGTGCGAGTGTACTTTGGTCATACGAGGGCCGATATGCTTGTGTAAAGTGAGACACTTTTCAACTCAATATAGTGAATCGGTTGTGGCCAACTTCGTTCCAAGTTACATCCACTTGAGACTGCTTACGACCGCTTAAGACACTGACACGCTGGCAGCATGTATCAGGAAACCCTGAATCTTTTCCGATCTGCGTTTAAATAGACTAAGGGTTTTGGCAGTATATCCGCGATAAAATTTACGACAAATCCACAGTAAATGGTCGCTCATAACATGGTCAAGAATATCTCAAACTCATGGTGAACGAATGATGCGCAAAGAGATGGGAAAATATATGGGCACAAGGGAAGTGGGCCACGTCAATACAATAGACCATTCCAGTGAAGCCTCTCAGGGCGGCGCCATTTTGTTCACCGCTGCGTCCTCTTCACACACCCGGAAACTTCACCAGGTTCGGCAGGGTAAAACGCGGAAAAGAACATGCGCCCGATTCCGCTAGCAGACGACAAACCGGAAGGGAGCCGTTCTCCATCTTTTGGGCTGTACCGGCGGGCTGAACGGAACATCGAGCTCTCTCTTGCGGCTGCCACTCTGAAGTGGTTCCTGTTTCTATAATATGTATGGCTACTTCAGAATCAACCTATAGCGCTCTGTTGCTTTATTTCTGTAGCTAATCAGCTAGCCCATCTTTGTTTCGTTACTTCAATAGCAGTGGCGTCAGCCGGCAGTACTACCCTCTACGTCCATTGCGTCAGGAGAGCACGTTTCTATTTATTTATTCTACACCCCCCCCCCCCCTCAGTTTTGCAAAAGGTCCACACCACTAAGACCTTTATATTGTAAAAACACAACTGCAGCCGGATTTACTTATCGCCCGGAGGGGCACACCAACCACTCACATAATTTTGACTTTTCTTTTTCTTTTTGTTTTCGGCAGGTAACTACGCAATTGGACCCGGTTTGTCTTTTTATCGGACATGGCATTACACGATAACTTGCACATCAAAATACGCGTATTTGTGCTTAAAAGTTTCAAAATGACGCGATTTTAAACCGAGTTTGCACAAAAGCCGGTTGTTAGATACAGCCCACTCGTCGGAGCAGACGACTCTCGGGGTGAGAGGGGGAGAGCATATTTCTCTTTCGGCTCTTCCTACCGTAATGATCTATAGATGGCGCCAGTAGGAGTGTCACTAGCGGTTGCATCGCAGGCGGTCGCACTGGAACGCAAATGAGTGAGACATCCTTTACAACGCACTAACGCCACTGGATTCCGGGAAAGTAGCGCCAAGCGATCCCCATGTGGTCGCCATTTTAGTTTATGAAATGACCAGTTTCCATATTCTTGGCGAGCCGATTCAAATTCGCGGAGACGGGTTGCTTTATGAACAGATTTGTTGTATGCCGATACTTTGGCATCCACGCCGGCGAAATATGCGCACACCTTCGCACCACACCACATGCGGCATTATGTGTTGGATGGCATTGAAAAATAATTTTCCTGTCATGAAATACGCAAGAAGAGCAACATCATTGCAGGATATCAATGGAGATAAGCATGATTGATACATAATGGAACAGCGCGAATTTTGCAAGGACAGAAAAAGGAACTGGACAGGACGAGCGCTGGACTAACAACTGAAAGGTTTATTTTCAGGAAACCACCAAGAAAAACATACGACAACATGACTCTCTAATCACGATGGAAATGCGCATGCGCCTCACAAAATTGGGTGCTATCAGTTACACAAGGTTATATGCGTCATCCCCGATCTAAAAATTCGACGTCACTCTCCAGCAAATTCAAGGAAGCCTGACTCACGCAGGCTGGCCCCTCCTTCTTTATTCTATGAGCTTCAACAATCTCTCGAGCTTTTTGGTCCCTGTGTTTATACAAAACAACGGCTTTGTCCAGTAACAGTGTACAGGCGCAGTCCCTGCAGTGTAACGCCAAGTGGGAGCTTGCCGTACCTGTTAAAGAACTACGGTGTTCCCGCAGGCGAATGTTGAGGCACCGCCCCGTTTGTCCGATGTATACCTTCCCGCAGGTGAAGGGTATCTTCTATACTACACCCAAGGTGCATGGCACGAACTCAATGCGGTGTTTTATGCCGCACGGCATAAAACACCGCATTATGAATCCATACCAACTCGCCCAGTTATCCTGTTTACTTAGTATGATTGATACGTTGATTGCGAACATGGTGCCAAAATTGCTTATATGGGGGTATTCACTACTCACCTTATTTGAGGGCGCTGTGTAGAGTTCAAGCTAAGAAACATTTCACATTAATAGGCTGCCAAGACCGGCGATTTCGATGGTGTACAAAGCACATTAAAAAATAGCTGTAGAAGCGCGCCATCAGTACGCGCTCGGCAGTCGCGCACACCAGTTTTGAGTACGTTTGAGAGCGTCTGAGGGCGTTTCACTGTGTTGAGGCTGCGAGAAACCAGGACATTCCTGCTTCGTACGTCGCATGCTAAGCTATTCCTTGAATTGGACTCCACCCTTCATAAGAAGCACGGATGTGCCGGTGACTCGCTTTCGTTTATCGTCGCAACACCGTCAAATTCACTCAAACGCTCTCAAAAGCAACTGTGCGTGGGGGCCTTATGAAGGCAAACAACGCTTTCAGCGCGAAGAAGCTCCATAGCGATCTTCACTCGAAGAAATACGCGGATGTATAGGGGTACATCCCTTGTCCCACATGTAACAACCCAAAACAATAATTCGACGTTCAGTACACAGTCATCGAACCAACGATACTAACTTTCAAGAGCGGCTTTATAGACAATTGCAAGCATGGCGCCACAAGTGGTGCCCCATGCGTGCAAACGCGTGCAACGCGCGGGTGAACGTAGCTTTGGCAAGCTCGTAATCGCACGGGCGTGCCTGCTCGAGCAGAGACATGGCGGCGGCCAGTCGCCCAGCTTGCAATCGTCTATAGTCGACCAATAAAACTTATTAAAATAGCTGATGTAGGCATTAGAGGCTACAGTAAGACAGTCAAGCTCATTTGGCCCTGCTGTAAAGCCTCAGTGTAGTTTTTGTTAGTCTTTGATACGAACATTAGCTATTTAGTACGTTATATCCAACAGCTGTCAATCCGCTCCTAAGAGTTTGTCGCGCCAGCTCGACGTCAGTAAACTGAACGTACAAATGTAGTCTTGGGGTGTTACATATTGTACAAAGGATGTACCCCCAAACACCCCCTATTTCTAAGAGTGTTGGCGCTTCTAAAGTCACTGGATCCTGGGAAATTAACGCCGTTGTCTTCCCTGCCTGCTAGCTGGAAACAAACGGATACTAACATACAGACGACTAAACCTCGCAATGTATTCGGGATGGATGGATGGATGAATCCGGCTGAACCCTTCGGATCGGGCGGTAGCTTACGCCACCTACAACTCCAGCAAGACGGACGCTACCAAGCGGGAAAACCGGGAACCAGCCGGACCAGGTCGCTCCACGCCCCTCCGCGTCTCTGGTAGGTTTCGCGGACACGTGTTGTCGGCGCGGTGGCGAACAATCTAATTTGACGAAGGTCCGAATATTTCTTAAGTTTGCCTGAGTGTTCATTAGTGTAGGTGAAGCCCCAGTAGATTGTTTCCTTTCATCATGTGTTTGAAAGCCTGTTTACTCCACAATACACGGTCGCGTGCTTTCCATTTCTTGGAGGGGGAGGAATCACAGAAAAACGTTTTGATTTCTTGTCTGTCTCGAATCACATTCAAAGTTACGACTACTCGGTAACTGATAAGTGGTTTCTTTATAAGGATGTAGAACAGTGTACTGAGGACGGCAGACGAGGTGTTTCACTGGAGGAAACACCAATGCTGCAGTCAAGTGAATGGGAAGCTTCGATAGCTGCTTTTCTTGAGTTTGGTTGTGTTCGGTAAGCTTGAAGTTTGAGCCACCCACGCCGGTCGGTGCGTTGGCTATGCATCTTGGCTGCTTTTTGCCAAAAAAGCCTCTGGACCACACCGAAGAAGTTGGGCTGATTTCGCCACTACTTGATTCAGGAAAACCTGCTCGCTGCATACGATTAAAGAGGGAAATTATCTGCTTTCAAAAGGTGGGGGACGCGTCTCGCAAAGTTAGAAGCTGTCACGGCGTTATGATCTATCGCGCCTCCAATATTTATACTATACAGCCGTCGAAGCCGGCAGCAATATACGTCTACATTGCTCAGGTTGACCGCCCACAAGAAATACTCATTTTCTCTATTCAGGATTCGAAGCCAAGCTCAATGCAGAGAGGTTCTGCGTGAATCTCCGATGACGACTCTCTTCAGTTTGTCCGCATTCGACTCCGTGCTACCGGCTAAAACCATTTGGCTAAGTTCAAATAGTATCTCCCTGTCTGTCAAATATACTTTTATTCGGCAATTTATCTAATAGCTAGTCAACTAAGCTCATATTTCAACCCGAAGAATCTACTAATATCGCTTTAGTGGGACATAGTACGTAATATAATACATCACCCGCTCGTCAACATGACTTCTCAATTGCTACGAAAACCTGAATTGAAATACGAGTATCAGCTGTTTAGTGGGGCGCCAGCGGGTTAACATGCTCCTTGGCTTAAGAAGCGCTTGCCTAATTTTCGTAATTTTCCTGCAGCCTGCGTTGTTGACCGAGCAGACGAATGAAGCTGTTTCTTTAATGCGGGTACGCATAAAAGCTCGATTTCGCGGACAGATAAGTCAGATAAATCATGGTAATAAAACCCAAGACTAAGGAACACAGAAGGGGACGAACACAACACAACGTCTCAATACCCCTTCTGTGTTCCTGAGTCTCAGTTTTTATTACCATGAATCATCACCAGCTCGCTTGTTTTTTTTAAGTATTATTACAGATAAGTCGCATGGTCGAGGCATGCGAGTTAGCTGAAAGTTATTCTCGGTAGAACAATCATGTAGTTATCGCCGTTTCCCTTAAATGATCAAAACTGATTAGAGTCTATTACCGTCTCTCTGGAGCCCATAGTTTCGGTTTTGAACGAAATCTCCGAAACGAAAGTTTGACATGAAAAGAACAAAAAACACCGGGAAAACAAAACTTTGCTCTGTAAGTTTATGTGCACTGGCTACACGTAACCGTCTCAGTTCAAATACTTGTAAATTTGGGCATTAAACAAAAGAAATTCTGTTAAATTGAATGCGACACCCGTTCAGGAGGCCCGGCCGAGCCGACGCGACCCGGACCCAGCCGCCATGTTTGTTTGGTGGTGGCGCCCCCTATAGGTCGCTGGAGTCGCGAATACCTCGCTGATCCGTTTAAGTTGCCATGGCGATTGCCATTTTGGTCTATTTCGATCTTTGAGACTTCGAAAGCGTCGTTCTGAGCCAGTCGCACCAAGATCGCTCTGGAGCATCATCGTTCTGAAAGTGTTACCAATATAGGCGTCCTTGGCACTGTGCATCGAGTCAACTTATCAATGATACTTATCTGCACCGGCCCCTTGCAATGGTATTGTTTTTCGTGCGTATTTCAAGACAAGAAATTTATTTTTTGATGTGGCCAAGCACCGACACTTTATGTGGTGGCTGGCGGTGTGAAGTTGTTCGCTCGTTCCGCCAGTGTTTGGATAACAACATTTCGGTATTCATAAATAAAATGTCTTCATACAGCATGCTCTCACCGGGAATTTGTATCGGCTCACTAAGAAGGGATTGGTCAAGAAGAAACTGTACATTCCATGAACCAAAATGGCGATTGCTCATCCAGTGACTTTAAGCGTGACTGGCTTAGAAGGATTTGTTGCCTAGGCAACAAATACCGACCAGCCAATCGCATGCCAGGATTCGGTCGTCTGTATATTCGTATCTGTTTGCGTCCGTCTACCAGGCAGGGCGGCAATGGCGCTACTTTCCCAGGATCCAGTCACCTATAGAACGCAACGATAAATAACTCCGTATGGCGTCTAGGCCAGTGTCAGTCAATAGCCTCATGGCTAAGTTACTCAAGCATCATGGACAATGCTGGGAATGCATGTCTACGCGCCGTACGGATTCGCTGTCCCCGTATGAACGATTCAAAGGGGTTGATGAATGCGCGTGCAAGACGCCGTTTGTTTTAGGCTTTTGGTTTAGAACAGTTTCTGCTGCCACTGCTGCAGACGCCAGCACGTGAAGCTCGTGTAGCTACACTGGCAGCGTCCTCGTTGGTGCTGAGGCAATTTAGGAAACAGTCAATTTCTACGTATGTTTGAAAATCTGTCATACTTTTTCCGCTAAGCCGTGGTCACACAGCTCATACATCATGCAAAAGACACGCTGTTCGAAGCAGACACGATGGCAGAATTGTCCGCGAACGTGCCTCAAGCGCCTTCGAAGCACGCTTGCTTCATATATACGGTGTCCCAATTCACCAGGCTCGATCTGAAATGGACCGTAAAAATCGACGCTTGCAAAAAGCAATCTAAACTTTTCGTCTAATGTGCATTTCACAGGTCGGTTTTTTTCTGGTAAAATTGCAAAGCTTAGCTCCCTTTTTGTAAAAAAATAGGGCCAAGAAACTTGCCAGGGTCAACGGCGTACGGCGACGCAGAACACCGAGTCGAGTTGTGGGGTGTGTTCTGGCGCGCGTATTGATAGATGGCGTTGGGAGCGGCGTCCGAAGGTTTGCCGACCAGCAAAAGAAAGCAGGCGGCACGCAGACGAAATCCGTTGGCTGCAAAAGCGCCGTCGTTGTGCAAACGCGTTTTCTTTTTTCTTTTTTTTTTTACTTTAAGTTTTGATTTTATTGTTCGGATTTACTTTTAAACCAAAGGTACGTTACAAAAAGATTATGTTCATTTTAATTAACCACGGTGGCCGCGAGAAGTCTCGATAAAGAGGTAGCGCCATCTATCAATACGAGCGCCAAACGCGACCCGCCAGTCGATTTGGTCGTCCGCGTCGCCGCCTGCCGTTGACCCTGGCAAGCTTTTTTACCCTATTTTTTTACGGAAAGGGAGCTACGCTATATAATTTGCAGGATAAAACCGAACTGTTAAATACACCTTTGACGAAATGTTTAGATTGCTACGTGTAGGGGTCGATTTTTACGGTCCATTTTAGATCAAGCCTGGTGACTTGGGACACCCTATAGATATGTATGCTCCGAACATGTCTCTAGACAGTTTTGGTATGACCAATATGGCAGGACCGTCACGCAAGTAAGATGAATGGATGGATGTTGAATGGATGTTAACGGCTATACTCTTTGTAACGGGCGGCAGCTTGCGCCACCTAGCTTAAGTCTCAGACAGTGTTTGCAGACTGTGTTTTGTACTATGTGTTCACACGCTAACCGCGTTTGAAGCGCCTTGGCGGTTTTAGTTTGAATAAAATACGAGGTTTGCTTACCTTTGCAGTGCTCTTCGCACGCGGATTTTGTGTCGAACTTATTTGCATTTCCGCCGCAGCCTCCCCATGTAAATGCTTTACATGTTTTATCTCTGGAGTCGTAGTAATATTTTCTGAAGCTGGCCTTGCATCGTCCAGTTTCTGGTAGCATTTTGCAGATATTTTTGCGACTCGCTGCAAGAATCGAAAGACATGGGTAAAGCACGACGTGCGAGGCGCAACAGAATTACATGCTTTTTCTTTGTTTTTTTGGCGGTTCGTGTTGTTATTTTTTTTTCTGCCGAACATTAGCGGCGTTTGTACGCAAAAACCTACGTGATCGCGCTGAGAAAGTGATAGCGACACTGAGCTCTCAATTTTTGAATCAATCAACGCTTTCTGAACTGACCTCCTTCCCCATCGCCATCGCCCCTCTCGCAACAACATCAACTATGTCAAGGCCGACACTACATAGATAAGAAAGCCTTAGTGCTGAACTTCCCTTCGTCACTATAAAAGGGCACCGTACCGCACAAACCTCCTAAATCCCATTCCTCGACAATGCAACCGCTTCTGCTGCCAGTCGCGGCACGATTTGTGCGGTCGTTCTCCAATTTCTTGCTTGACGTTTATTATGACGTTTCGTAACAAAACACTGCTCACCGGAAATAGCTTGGCGGATAATGAGGCAGATCATATTCTTTCTATAAATATTGTAATGTAAGCTTAAATTGCGGTGTTCATTGTGTTAGATTACAATAGCACCGAATGTTACTAGATTAGCTCAGTTATGGAACTGTCCATAGATACTGCCTTTACAGGGAAAGCCCCCCTCCCCGGCATTCCCCCTGTCGTTTGTCGCGCCACCGTTTTGGGGACGGCTGCTATAGTAACTGCAGTCTATTTTACGAAGTCCATGTGGTTTTAAGCACAGAGTCTAGATGGCGTTTCACCGTATACTCTATGGAACACACAGTCTTGAAACGAAAATCTAGATGGCGCTTCAAACGACGGGAGGTGGACTCGCGGGAGTGAAAGAAGTACCCTCCTTTCCCTTCCCCCTCCCCCTCCCACCTCCTCCTCCTCCTCCCCCCCTCCGCAGGAGTTCCAGAACTGAGTTAATCTGTTCACGTTCCTACTGACTTTGAAAGCGCATGTATTATTTTTATTTTTGTTGGTTCGTTAGAGCTGTATTTTTGAATAATGCCTTGGATCGGTTCGCGATGACCTTTTTAGCGAATTCTTTCCACACTTTGAAGGAACAATCGCTGAAGGCAATGAGAACGAGTGAAGAACTTCTGGCGAATCTGTGACTTGTGTCTTACTAGAGTATTGTCCAAGGCGACAGATGTACACATCGCGACACTGTTAGCGCGAACACGACATTAGCGCACTTTCTCATTTTACTTCTGAATAGTATCAGCGAGCACTAAATTTTATCGCTTACATTATCGAGCTAAATTAGCTCTTTCCGTAGCAGCAATATCTTCGACGACATCCTTTGGTTTCAAAGAGAAAAACTGGAAAAACCGGCGATCGCTTGTTCGCGCTAACAATGTCGCGCTTTGTACTTTATTAAATGCGCAATTTGAGACTGGTTTTAATGGCAATCGCTCAACGGTAAGAAATGTGCGCGTCATTACAACAAAAGAGGCGTGACATGCTGAGAAGGTATTCTATTTCTTACTAGCGTTGCAGCGTGTTTCACAACTTTTCAAGCCGTAGTATAGATGGTGCGGGGTGCACTCAGCGTTTGCAGGTACTTTGTAACATTTTTTATCCGGCTTGTCATAGTAATAGAGGTCGAGGTGTTCAGTCGTTTTCGACTCCACGAAGTTCTCTTTGCGCTTCTCCAGACTTGCATTTTTTCTTGACTCTACAAAAAACACAAAGGATGTGATCACTTATAGAGACATTAAATGACCGTTGATATAATGGTTCCTTGCGATAAATTCTAACGCAGGAAAGTATTAAGAAATAAGTTCACGGTATATATGAACTTTCGTGGTATACAAACACACAGGATTGTTGTTTTTCTAACAGGGAAAATAATTATATAAAACAAACACTAAAACTTAAAAAAAAAAATCTTACGGATAATGTTAATTACCGTAGCTGACGTCAGGCACAAAGTGTATAAAATCATAATTAAATACCTAAGATTCACTACTAAGTTTTCGAAATATTTGTCTATCGTGCCTATGGTTGCCTTACATCTGGGTCGTATCGCGGCCCAGCTGTTAGAATTCTCGACACACGCTAGCTGGCGCAGTGGCACCCAATTATTTATATATTCGTAATATTTGTATCATTAGGTAATGGTTTCACTTTAATTCACATATTTCTAAAACTATCAGTACCTTAGAACGTTTTCAAGAATATTACAACGATTCCGACTGGGGCATTAGCAAGACATATGATGACAGTCGTGCTGACTTCGTAGCGATCGAGTTCGTAGTAAACAGCGAAGGCGGTTATCCCGGCCTCGGCTTTCGGGCCCGTTTAGATCTTGTTAGCGTCGACACAACATATCACTGCACGGACACGAGCCCTATAGACAAGCGTTGGCGGAAAGGCGGCCTGAGTTTGTTAATCAGAATCCACGTTCTCCAAACCATGCCGACCTCTCCGATTGGTTGTTCGTCTTGCCGGAGACGCCGTCGCCATAGCAACATCCCGCTCTCGTGGGTATTAAGAGGTTGCGGTACACCGGTAAGTTCTAGTTTTTCCCAACGAGAAGGTCGCTTTCCTCTCTCACTTAAGCACATGTTCGTGAATACCGATTTCTCCTCTCCTTACGATGTGCTTAACTTACAAACTTCTTGGCTATACGTTGTGGTAACCTAAGGAGCTCTTTGTGAATCTGGCCTCTGATGCGTACGAAAGACTGTGTTCCAAATCTTAAGGGCGATACACACACAATTGCGTCGAGTCCGACGGGGTGCAATTGCAACGGCTTGCGACGTGCGGGTTGCTATGGCAACAGCGGCTTCAGCTCCAACAATACCGGTTTTTACCCCGCCTTGTTGGAGCCGCCGTAGCCGTTGTCATAGCAACCTGTACGTCGCAGGCCGCTGCAGTCCCACACTCTCAAGAAAAATAGAGTGTAAAAGGGTGTACGTTACACCTTTTATTCCATATAATACACCCCAGAACTTCATTTCGACGTACAGCACCTTATAGTGGAACAGCTGGCCTCAAAGTTTACGAGGGGTTCGATAACGGTGCGATATAACTTTTTTAAATGGTTAAAGTGCGCACCAAAGACCACATAAAGAAAACACCGAGTTTTTACAGTAGAACCAAGAAAACCCCGATTATTTATTTTGTATCCAGTAAAACGTACATTAGCTATTATAATAAGTTGTACCACGCGGCTATCAAGCCCCTCGTAAAATTTGGGGCCGTCTGTTCGACGATAGAGCGCTGTACGTGTCGAATTGAAGTTTTAGAGCGTATTATATGGAACAAAGGGTGTAACGATACACCCTTTTTTTAGAGTGCACTCAGTCAGACTCATGGAAGCGTGTGAACCAACCTTTACTCGAACGGATACGAGTTACTCCGGCGGATCCTGTCACGTGACAAGACAGATTGAGCAACGCTGGACGCAGGTAAAGTTTCGGACGCTAAGGTAGAGAACTTTTTTCCCAAGAGTGAGATCGAGTAAATTTCGGAACATGGCCTAAGTGAGAGCTCAAGGAACGTAGGGTGTGTCGAATCTCCAGCATCGTAGTATCGCTCGACGGCCAATGAAATGGCGCCATCAGCCGATAAAATAGGCCGATGAAGGAATCACGCAGAAAAATACGCGTGAACGTAATTGATGGCACACAACCCACGTTTCTAAAGCTGTCAGCGACAACAACTCTCTTGTGTGCTCTTCGGGAACACACGTCCCCACATCCCGTAGACCCGTGGATTTGTTTAGTTGCTCACTGCAAGAGGCGTACGTCTCTGTTACACGGCTTCAATCTTGAGCCGAAAAACCAACGTTTGTGTCGTTTTTTGTGTGTGTGTCTTTTTTTTATTACGCAACAGTTTTGAATTTTCTTTTTGTAGAAAAAAGCAAAACATACCTCGACTATGCCAAGCTTCCAACAAAGCGTATAAATGTGTACAATATAATAAGGTACACCCTACCGTAATTGCTACATCTTCGTTCTTGGTGAGAAATATTTGAAGTTATGCATATAGCTTCATATTATACCGAAAGTCAAACATTTTGCGAAAAATAATGGATAAGGTAATTTCAATGCTAACACGCAACAAAAATCTGGACATTGAAAATTCAGCGATGTCAAAAAGATATGACTGACTCATGCATACGGTCAAATTAAAATATATATATTAAACTAATAACAAACGGAATGAAAGGGGACATTAACGGCCTCTTTAAAATGGAGCTTTATGCATCTCAAAGCAACGGAGAACCCCGAGAACAAAACAAAAAAAAATCAAGAAACATATATGTGAAAGTTCCGGGTCCGCGTGACTCATTCTTCGCTGACCGGAAGACTACGCTCTAAAACAATTACGTGAGTTTAGTTTTCTGCACAACATTTAAACAGCCAATGATTACAAACGACAGAAGCACTCCAGCCAATGACAAAGTTGATGATTAGATCTGGAATTTTGAGGTGCCCCGAAACAATGTGGAACTGAAATTTTATTTCCATTGTCCCTGTGTGCATTGCATTTTTTTTTTTTTTTTGTGCAATTGTATATTTACATTTCCCTATTCGCCGGGATCTTTTTGCCGTTCGTCGTGACTCGTTGACTCGTGTTCCGCAAGAAAGCGAATTCACAGACATTTCTTTTCTTTCTTTTTTTTTTTTTTTTGAAGTGTATGCTCATCGTTTAACCTTATAAATTGTCTTGGATTCAGATCCAAGACAATTTGACGTAACTGAGCTGAATTAAGGAATGCATTGAAAGCTTACCACGTTGACACCGAAGTTCGCACAAAGACTGGTTTGAGTAGAGATCATGCTGGGTGCATTTGACGTTCTTCGGTGCTGGCACACATGCCCTGTTTCGGCCTTTGGGGGACGTCCGGAGATAGTACATCGGACGAAAGGTGGGTGCCCTAGTATTAGGGGAAGCTGCACCGGCATCGGTGATCGTGCCTGAAACGCAGCATTTGCAATATCTTTAACAACCCATACCTCTTCTTTTAGTGCCTCCGCGTTGAGGCCGCTACGCACATCTGCGTTTGAGCGCGGTGCGTTCCGCTGCGGCAAGCGGACGCGTTCCGTTGCGAAGAGCGCTTGCGCCAAGCTTGTACAGGGTGTCACAAAAGAAAATTTACACGGTCTTTTTTACCGCAAAAATAAACTAGGCATCGCCGAACGCTCATTCTCCGCCCAAAGGTAGAGCTAGAGGTCACAACCAGGTGCCAAAGTTTCAGCCCGATCCGATAACTTAATCAAAAGTTATAAGTGATTTTCTGAAAAGTTCAATGGGAAAATGGAGCCCATTTTTGCCTGTTTTCGGTTTCTGGTGCCATAGAGCCCCATGTGTTCGAAAACTCAGTCGGCCGCCACTTTCCCCATTGAAATTTTCAGAAAATCATTTATAACTTTTGATTAAGTTATGGGATCGGGCTGAAACTTTGGCATCTGGTTGTGACCTCTAGAGCTACCTTTGGGCGGAGAATGAGCGTTCGGCGATGCCTAGTTTATTTTTGCGGTAAAAAAAACCGTGTAAATTTTCTTGTGACACCCTGTACATACGGTTGCATTGACGCGCTGTCGACCGCAGTCAAAAGCCAATAAGAACTCTATGTCGATGCTAGCGGCCGACCAATAGAATGCGAAATCCTCGGCAACATGGCTGCGCCCGGCGACAGCCTCGAAGTGTTCGATCTTGGGACAATCCCGCTGGCTTCCCCGACATCTTGTCGAGCTTGAACCATCGCAGCCTTGGAAAAAGCAGTCCCCACCGCTCCCCGAAACGAAAAAGCAAGTTCTGCGAGCGGAGAACCGGATAAGCCTCGCCAAGTGGTCCCAGCGAACACGTGACCCTCCTCTCCTCTCTCGGCTTCTGATTGGTTGAACGCACCGCAACGCTTCGCAAAGTTGAGCGAGTCTCTACTTGCTTGCGTCGCGCTACCGAGCGTTGCGGGAAGGTGCGCGTCGCACCGCAAGCGACCACTTGTGGCCGCAAGGACGCCGCCACGCACTCAAACACGCTCAAACGCGATTGTACGTATGGGCCTTTACTTTTGGCAGATGTACAATATCTCGTGTTTGGACATGCAGCGGCGCGCTGCTCCGCGAAACGAGCATGTTTCGGGCTTCCCCAGAACAGAAGCAGAAAAAAGAGCGAAAGGAAAGCTGAGGGAAAAATGAAAGGCGTTACAATTCTATCTGTAATGCCAATTTAGAGCGCAGCTCTTGGGGAGGAGGACAGGATGGTAATGAGAGGAAAGTATGCCCCTCCTCCCCATCCGTACATTGCCCCTCTCCTCTCCTGCTCCCTTCCCATTTAGCGAGAAATGTTCGCTAAATTTCCCGGAAAATTTAACGAGAATTTGCCCGCTAAGTTTAGCGGTGAAATTTCCCCATAATGCAGCGCGCGGTTACGCCCGTTTGCATTATTTCCTTAATGCAACGCGCGCGGTTACCACGACGCCGACGCCGACGCCGCTCAAGTGGGAAACAGGCGCCTAAGAGCTGCGCTCTAAAAAAAGTAGACCCCTTTGCCGCTACAGGTCGAAACACTTTCCCAGTGTTCAGCTCTCTGTTGCCGCGAGCTCGTAATAGGGCACGACAAAACAAGATTGTTTTGTCTTGCTAACTCTCCGCCCGTCTCACACTCCAACAGGCTCTGAGAAAACTGCATTTACACCGCAACCGCAGACGATAACACGCACAAGAAAGGCCTGTTCATACATGCAATGGACCCCGACAAGCACTACGCGCTCACCTCGTGCTAGGCGCGTGCTGACGGGAGCGTTCACCAGCTTTGTATCGCACCGTCAAAACTGTTGCTCTTGGGAGACGATAAGTATCTCACTACATGTGAGCAGCGCTACATCAGCGCTTCGCTGCGTCTGTGAACCGACTCCAGGGAGCACTCGCGCACCTACTACACAGGGCCGCTTTGCGCCATCCAGTCTCCCCGCGTGCACACAGTTTCTCCACATCGACACATCACAATCCATGCTACCGCGGCCTTTGCCACGCTAGTACGGCAAAGTGGCGACTTTTATTTTAATTTGATAAGAGTAAGTCCTGCAACTTTGGGTTCGGGCCGTTAAGGCTGGTTCACACTGCCCCATTTCCTTACGTTAAGTTACGTTACGTATGAGTCACCGAAACATTCGTGTCTCAAATGTCGCGAGTCATGCTTCCTTCTTGAACTGGTAGCCTCGCTTAATATGAAGCGCAGAAGTCCCGGTGACTTCAACGTAATATTTCGTGACGTAACTTAACGCAAGAAAATGGGGCAGTGTGAACCAGCCTTCAGCGCTGTGCAGTTGGTATACAGTTGGGCAGAGTCCTATCGTCCGGCAATGCGGACTTTATTTCTGCGGTGAGGACAACACGGTTCTTCTCTTCTCCCGAACAAGATTGCGCCTCCCCAAACAACATTACCCGCACATTGCGTTCACAAACAAATTGTACACTTTAATAAGTAAGGAGAAATCAATTGGGTAACGTACCGAGAGTGCCCAAAATCAACGGGAGGAACCAAAGCATGTCCGGCGCTTCTCACTGGTGAAACGCTGCGTTGCTGTTAAACGTCCAATTCTCGTGCCAGCATATATAAAGGCACGGTAAGTGCATTGTTAACGAGGTACAGCATAGAGGCTGTCCGTTGCTGGGCACCATCTGTGACGCAGATAGTCTTTCCAGCAATTCTTCCTTCAAGCACTTTTGTTTTACAATCTTTCGCGAAAAGGTACGTCATCTGTTCAAGTTTCTAATTTTATTTTCCAAAGTATACAATATTTTGTTCGTTTTGGTATTGTTCATAATCGTTTCCCGGGAAAATCTGAAAAAACAAGAGAACAAATACCGAATGCTATCTGGAGAACACGTGTATGCTAGGAGCACGTGGGTATATATTCTTGCTTTGTAATACACCTTTGCGCACATTTTGCAGGACTCGTAGATTTCATAAACACGCCACGCGCGTAAAGCGATCCCCGGTATTTCCTTTTTTATTACTATTTCAGTTATACGCCTCCGGAGTACCTTCTGAAAGCTTATCCGTGAAAAATGAAAAAAAAAATATTATTCTGGAGCGACTGACGAAGTCTAATCCCAGGTGTAAAGAAGCAGCCGGCACCGATACACCAGCCGGTGTATCCTTTTCTGTTGCATGTTTTTCTCCCTCTGAAAGTCGCCGATGTACATGTATACGGAGGCTCGAAAGCATCCAGTATGGGCACCGCCTACACGTGCGGCAGCCATTATACTCATACTTTGGAAAGTTCCCACCTAAACGCAAAACTGCTTACACCCCGGGAGGTGTTGCTGACTGTTATGTCTTTGTAAATTTTAATATTTTAATCAATACCGTGTTTGTTCAATTTTTTTTTTTTTTTTTTTTTTTTTTTTTTTTGGGCTGGGGCTGTTTATAGTTTTGAAGTTCGACACTCTGCGCGAGTGCCATACGTTTGAGGTGGCCGCTTTGCCTGTCGGCTGCAGATCCTGCGGTAGTGGCAATCGGAGATCTGGCCCTTCGGGTTCAGACTTGCGCCGATTCCCTGATTCAAATTCAGAGGGCGAGCACTTATCATTCAAATACAGACACTCTGTGAAGTTCCTCCGGTTAAGAGCTTGACACTTCCATAACGTTGATTGGAAGCGGGCACGCACGAAGATGAGACCGAATGGGAAGAATAACCACAGCTTTTCGGCGTTATAATTTGCATTCGAAGCTTTCTCAAGCTGCACAGCTTGAAAGCACTGCACGTGCCCTCAATAGTTGTTACGAAAACACACAAAAAAAAACATTTCATTGTCTTATTTTGCGCTATCTTAAAATATGTATATAAATATATATTGAGAAACATTAATTCGAACGCGATAGGGTTAGTCAAGAGAAAAATTATTTGTATAATGTACGCTGTAGTAGACTGACTAAATAAACACGCGACGAATCGGAACTTAAAGTAGTAAAAAAGCGAGAAATCAATTTAGAAACTGCGCACGTCGCGGATAACACACTAATGTTTTGTGTGTGTGTGCTTGTGTTTGTTTGTTTTTTCTTTTTTTTCTTTTTTGAGAAAGAGGAAACACAGCACGACTCTTGATTGGGATGATTGATTTATTCTGATATTTACTAGATCGCGCGAAGAAGACAAGGACAAAAAAGGCACATATACGAAAGCGCCAGTTCTTGTCGTATGTGTGTGTGTGTTTTTCCGTCGTTGTTTTGTACATGCTATTTACTAATTTTTCAACACTCTCACACTTTTAAGACATCAAGCACTACAGAAAGCGAGAAACATTGCGGCCAAAAAGTGAGCTCGACATACTGCTCGCGTTAGATTCCGATTGTACAATAATTACAAAACTTCCACTGCGACAACGTGTTGCGATCCCTACGCTCATGGATGAGTCGGTCGGTTATTCAGTTCCAAACATACACTGTACACGATGAACTCTGCGCAGATACAAACAATACGTTTTATTTGCATATTTTGCACTTACTTTATTGAGCGAATAGATATATGTATTATTATAGAATATGAAACATGTTTTATTATTATTTGGAGGTCAGGTATATTTTGCGCAGGTGTATATATTTATATTTTTTTCTAAAGCATTAGTTTTGTGGAAGGCTTGCGTATCGCTCCAATATACACCATATATACACCACCAGATACCCCTGTGGGGGCGCTGTTGTCGTGGCGGCTCAGCCGTATATTGGGAGAGTCTGGCCAGTGGGTGTGGCGACGAAGGCGTTGGAGAGCAGAAAAGTGAAGGAAAGGAAGGAGAGCACCAAAGCAACTAGAGGGGAAGAGGGGACCAAAGAGGAGAGAACCGCCATTTTGACGCGACACGCTGTTGGTGCAGAGCACCGTTGAGGCTACGCGTCGTCTGCTACGGGCTTTTATTTTTTTTTTTTTTTGTCTGAATAAAGGCTTGCGTTAAAACGTGGAGAAACCTAATTCGTTAACTTTTTAAGCCACCAGGGAATAACACTATATCATTTTCTCGCCAGAGCCTGCAAAATGAAAGGAGAGGACCGAAATTTGGATGTCGATCCCACGCATTCTACCGGGCGAATGAATGAAAATGGCGTCCCTCCCCGCTCAGCTGGGATAGAGTGTACTAGAAAAAACAAGTGTGGCTACCGGAGTGCTATTTCTGCACTTCCATGTGTTAAAAAAAAAAAAAAAAAAAAAAAAGCTAATTTAAGCCACTTTACTCGTAGCACCCTCTTGGGCGCTACAAGCGAAGTTCTTCGGATTAGGCGTATATTATGAAAAACGCGTTTCGTTCCAACGCCAAGCTGGACCGGCACACTGGTCAAGGTCATAAAAACAATAGAACGCCAGGCCATACTTTTTATATAACCTAGACGTCAGGCGTCACATCAGTACATAACGCCACCATGATCTCACTTGCCGCAACGCCATGCGACATCACGACGACGCCTTGACGTCAAGGTCGTCATCGACATTGATAACGCGCGGTACACATCAAGACTGCGTCCTGACGTCATACTGTGTCGACATCAACGTCGATGTGAACGTTGATGTTGACGACGACGGCGACGACGTGACGCGACGTCACGATGACGGCGTCTTTGTCAATGCGACGTCATAAAGATTCTTGGTGCGAGTTTGTCGACCTCGTTGTCGACATGACGCCACCCGACGTCTGGACGACGTCCCCACAACTTCGCGACGTCGGCGTCGACGTCATTGTCGACGACGACGACGTTACACGATGTCAAGGCTTCGTCGTGACGGCGCGTCGACGTTGATGTTTGCGGAGGCGACGACGTTACACGCTGTCAAGGCTTCGTCGTGACGTCGACGTTGACGACGACGTCAGGACGACGTTAACGTGACGTCATAGCGAGGTTTGACGTTGCGCGGGGCCTCGACGTCAACGTCGGCATCGACGACCACGTCCACTTCGTCCTCGACGCGGCGCGACATCATGACCGCGTTACAACGGCGACTTGATGTCACTTAACGGCGTTGTCCTCAACGCGAAGCGATGCCACGACCGCATTGCAACGGCGACTTGATTTCGCAAAACGGCGTAGTACTCGACTCGACGCGATGTCATGACGGCCTTATGACAGCATCTTGGCGTCGCGTAACATGGTAGTCGACGATGACGTCGTGGCGTCGTCGTAACGTTACGTCGTCGTGACGTGGTGTTTTGAGCTTACCTCTGACGTCAAAATCATAAAAAAATACAATATATACTTTTACCTTTGTCGTCGCTCGCTTCGATCGCAGCGAAGGTGGCGCTGCAATCGAAATGGCTTAGTTCCAACTGGGCCCCTAAACTCGTCAAACACAAAGTTGGGGCCGAAGTTGACGGAGCACACCGATTGGTGTATCATGACGATGACTTCGCGCTTTTTTCGCCAACGTCCACTCAGCGCGCTCTGTGAACTTTCGGCTGCAACTTAGTGTTTGACGAGTTTAGGGTCCCTGATCGCTTTCCACATTTTGAGGTGCAACTCAAAGCACGAGCGGAGACTATAGCTCGTCCCACTCGCTCCTTCTAGTACACTCTAGCTGGGAGCAGCCGAGATTTCCGGGTGTTTTGTGTGTGTGTGTACGCGTTGTAGGTGAAAGTGGGGAGGGGGGCGGAGGAGGGTGGCAGACGTTTTTGACTTTAGACAAATCTCGTTTCTGGACGTGCGCACTGCCCACGCTCGGTGTGGGAAAACCCACATTAATTGGCAAATGGCGTGTTTGGTTTACAGGAGGAGCGGCCAAACTGCGGCTCTTTGCGGGTTCAAGTGAGGCTGGCGGTTCCAGGGAACGCATTACCCACACCTTGCCCCCTGTAAGATTAGAATAATAAAATAAAAGCCATAGAATTGAAAAACAGCTTGTGTTTTGTCAGCCGTGCCGCCGCACGTACTGTTGTGCGAGACGCTCTTCTCAACAGTAAAGGCGCGGTAAAATAAAACCTTCAGGAACACCTCGCTTGCTGGGCTCTGCGGGGCAGCAATGACGTCGTTTGAGCCGTACTTCGGAGTGCTTGATTTACAAAAGGAAACGAACAAAACACACATATATATAATTAGGAATTGCTTTATAAGCAAAATTAAATGCGCCAAAAAAAACGCTTTGTCTCTTCTTTTGTTTGCAGATTTTCGATTAAAATTGTTATTTTTCACAGTTATCTGCATATGGTCCACCTTGCCACCTCTGGTTTCTAGGCTTTCATGTGCCTTTATATGCTATACGCGATAGTTTCTGTACTGCCTTCGAAACTAAAAATAAGTATGATATTTTCTTGTTTCGCTCTATTTACTGGCAGTTGCTCCTATTTGACTTTTAACAGAGTGAAATAAAAAAGAATGTTCGAGCGTGAACACGCTAGGGGGCGCAAGCCACCCCACAATTCAAAAAGCTGAGTGCCGAGTTACGTGTTTATATACAGGATTGTAACAAATGGCCTCCTCGACAGGACACATTATCGAGATTCAATAATGCACTCTAAAAAAAAAGGGTGTCAAGGGAGAGTAACTGCCCTAAGTTACCCTCCTT